ACAGAATTGCATGTACCTTCAAAATATGGGCGTTGTTGTTGTTGTTGTTAGGAACCATCAAGTCAGATCCAGCCATAGCTGACCTTCAAGTGGGTTTTCAGAGGCAATTAATCACAAAACAGAAGACTGCCCATCTTTCTTCTGCGGAGAAGCTATTGGATTCAAACTGTGTACGTTTGGGATTGCAGTGCAACTTCTTACCACTAAGCCACCAAAGCTTCCTATATGTCATAATAATTTACATAGTCAGAAAACTATCATTTAAACAATATCCAGACAAGTTTTGAGGTTATTATAACAAGGTTTCTAATAGTGTAGGGAACTCTTGTTGCGAAAGGTTTGTCCATACCAATTCCAAAGAGATATCTTTGAAGTGTTTCATTGAATGTTTCTGTCAATGCTTACTTAAAACATCAGATGCATGCATAACAGTGAAAGAGTGAAGCTGTAGAATTTAGAGAGATTTTATTTAATTACATATTTTTATTGGTCTGCATATAATTCGTGTGCATTGTTTCATGCATGTACCTTGTTTTTATAATCTTTTTATTTTCATTGCAGTTTGATCATGTATGTTTTCCCCCTTAAGGTCATCTTACTAACTATATTAATGAAAGCCACCTCCTTCATATCTCATGCCTTAATAACCCCATTTTTGATAGCTAATTTCTGATTTGCCCATCCCTATCAGACCAATTCTTTGAGTAAAGCATGTCCCTTTGGCTGAAGAATTTTTTGTTCAGTTTGAAAACTTTGGCCATTTGTAATTTCAAACAAAATCCAGTCCAGAGCAAGCCATCAGATTGCAGCAATCAACATTAGCTCACAGCATGGATCATCTTCCATTTATCTGGTTAGATTCTAGTCAGCTCATCCGCAGCCATCTGTAGCTACAGTTCAAATGAGCATCAGTCACAAACTCAAGAGTCCACACTTTGTATTCCATGCAGGCTGATTGGTGCCTTCACTCAGCCTGAGCTCCCACATGGGGCCAAGTCAATAAGCCAGGGGTCCTAATGACTCCCTGTTCCTCAAACCAGTAACCCTTTATCATTTATCCATACATCTGTGAATGCTAAGCTGACAGGATTTCTTTATTGTTGTATTACTCTTATTTCCACTCCAGTGAATCCAGGTGATTGCTAAGAGTGAACAAATTTAGGGCCACAGGAGCCCTTTCCCAGAACAGCCACAGAAATGATCAAAGCAGAAGCTGCAACTCTATTTTTTTCTGTTAGGGCTGCAAAACCAGTCCTCCTCCCTTGCCCAGGAATAACAACCATGACCCCCGAACTGCTCCCTTATTTTGTAACAAGTAGCTGCCTACATTTCCCTTCCTCACTTTCCTTGTAAGACAATATAAAACTCCACTGTAACTTTAAGTACCTCATGGTCCCTACTTTAGAGTCATCCTGGCAGTTTCTCCTCAATAAACTTCCTTTCTTGGCCTGAACTGGGTTCTGGCCTTCCTCTATGACCTTACAAAACCTTAACAGTGTGTTCTGATGGGCACTAACTTTACCCTACCTCAGAAGCCAAACAGATATGCTTGTTAATGATAGAATTTGATAGTGGGTGCTAGGGTTGCGCTGCAATCCTGAAGGCATGCAGTTCAAATCCACCAGCTGCTCTGTGGGAGAAAGATGAGCAATCTCTTCCCAAAAAGCAATTAAACTTCCTCTTGTAACCCACTATAGTCAGCTGTCGTTCATTTCCGACTCCAAGGTACACAACAACAACAGTTGAGGTTTAGTATGGAAGAAATATTAACTACTACCCATTATTCTGAGGATATTTGTATTCATATGGATTTGCAGACCCACCTTGCATTTTTGATTGAAGAGATTCACATTTGAAAGAAAGGCAAGTAGAAAGAGAAAGGGGAAAATAAATAATAATAACTTACTCTTTAAAGCTGAAACAAATTGTTTGACTTCAGAGTTTTTAAGATTAAACTGAAAGTTTTCAGTCATTGAATTTATATTCTTTAAAGTCAAAGAGAACGGTTTCACTTTTCCTTGATTAAACACATTAAAACTGAATTTCTTAAGAAATGTATAGGCCTGTATGCATCTCTAGTGGCCTTGTGATAAATTGTTGGGCTGCCAACCTAAAGGAAGGCTGTTCTAATCCACCAGTTGCTCCTCTAGATAAAAATGTATCATCTCTTCTGTGATTTAGATTCTGAAAACTTGATAAAGTGTCAAGTATGAGTCATTTCCAACTCAGTGGCACATAACAACAAAGTCTCCCCAAAGTGTTAATTCCTAAGGGTTTATTTTTTTAAATAAAAATAATCACATTTTTCATTTCTTTTCCCCTTTTGCTATTTTCATGTATGTAAATCTTCTCAAAGTTAAATATAAGAGTGGTAAATGTTAGGCTAGTATAAAGAGAAAAATAAAATACTGTGATATATGTGCAAGAACTTTTTTGAAAAGGAAAGTAAGAATATTTGATATGTAAATAGGTTTAATTTTAAATGTATATTTAAAGCATTTGAATTTAAAATATATTTTAAAAGGTTTTCTTATTGCAAAACACTAAAACCAATAGCAGTTTGGTTTGTTATTTCTTTCAAATTCTGACATCAAAGATAAATTATTGTTCTAGTAGGTGAAAGGTTTAGTTCTAACCCAGAGAATGTGCAAACAATCAACACTGGAGTCTTTGTGTAGCAACACACTGTTTAATAGGCAGGGATGTGGAGGCAGGTTGAGATCAAACGTGGCTTCAGCTCCCAGAGAAGGCAGAGCAACAGGATTTATCCAGGTGCTATGGCAAGAAGCTGTGTTGCAATCTCAAAGGCATGCAGCTCAAATCCACCAGCTGCTTTATGGGAGACAGATGAGCAGTCTCTTCACATGCAGTTAACTGCCTCTGAAATCCTGCTGGAGGGTCGGTCATCTATTGGTCGGTTCTGACTCTGTGTTACACAGCAAACTACAACATGTACTAGTTAGACTGGCCCTTCTTCAGGTCTCAGGGCCTTTGTGTCTTCTGACCAACTATCTTCTTTCTTCTGTTGTTTCTTGACCCTTGCTGCTGACTCAAGTGTCCCTGCTCCTTGGTGACTCATTTCCCGCAAGCTTTCAGGCTCAAAGGAAAGATTACAGTTGGTTAATCACAATATGTTTCCGATCACTGTCATCAGGTCCAAGAAAGATTCATGGATTTTAAGGAATTACAGCTAATCATTAACCTCAAATGCTTGGAGGCATATACATGGGTATGGAGAAATATACTTTTTTATGGTAATAAGTAGCTTACATTTGCAAAGTGAGTGGACCTGTTATAACAAGTAGTTATGGCATCTCTTATATTTATTATACTACTTTAGTTCTGATAATCTATACCCTTTTATTTTGACAGATTACATTTAACTGTTACAAGCATTTTGCCCTTATTTTTGAGCCATGCCTGTTAAAATGGTGCTTGCCATTAGGTCCCCTGTAAATTGCTAAATATTTAACATGTTTTTGCAGTTACCTATGTGAAAATAGTGATCGTATTGATAAGAATATGTAGGTAAACTAATAAATGCTTACTAAATCCATACTCCATTTAAACTAATAAAAAGATCTGCTCTCTGAGTAGTTAATGATTATTGTATAAGGCGAAGAAATAGTATAATGAGAACATTTATATAACCACTTTGTTAATGGCAGAAATGTGTGTTTATTATTATTGAATACAGGCTTGGTGACTGTTATTCATATCAACATTAATAACCCTTTTAAAAATCTTTACAATTCTGACTATATAATTTAAAAGATTCTTGTATATTTGGAATTATTCATATGGCCAATTATTCATATGTATTCATAATGTTGTTGTTTTCATGTGCTGTTGAGTCACCTGCAACCCATAGTGACCCTATGTACAGCAGCTCTGAAACCTTCCTTGTCCTGAGTCAGCCTCACTAATTCTGACTCACACATCCCCATTGCCCTAGTCACTGTGTCAATCCATCTTTTCCAAGGTCTTCCTCTCCTATGCTCTCCCTACACCCTTCTGAGCATGATGTCCTTCTCCAAGGACTAGTCTCTCCTGGCCACGTGCCCTAAGTATGTGAGACAGAGCTTCAGAATCCTAGCATCCAAGGAGAAACTTGATTTCACCCTCTCCAGATAGCCCCATTTGTTTGCTTGGCAGTCCATGGTATGTTCAGTACCCTTCTCCAGCACCAGCACCACAATTCAAAGGCATCAATTCTTCTTCTGTCATCTTTAGTCATTGTCCAGCTCTCTGATGCATAGCAAGTAATTGTAAAGACCATGACCTGGATAAGGCACAGCTTAGTCTCTAGACTGACATAATACATTTTTTTATTCTTTAACTTTCCTAATATGCAGTTAATAATTTATATAGAATAGATAATGTAATGCTTTGGGGGTGGGGTTGTTTGATGTATGTTTTTAATACATGAGCTTTTTTAGTGACTATTTTGCTCTCTAATAGTTCACACTTAAGACTGTTGTAAATATCTATGTCCTGGCTATTTTGCATTTTAACAATGTACATTTGCAGTGAGATGCCAGGTGACAGTAGCACTACCGGTGATAGTTAAGGTATGGTGTATCACCTTGGCAAGGACACAATTCTCAGTAATTTGGCAGTTATGTACTGATGTAATCTTGCCGTTATATAATGATACAATCATCCTCTATTTTGTGGTCTGAAATGGCCATTTTCCTTTTTTCGTTGTGCCAGTTTTTCATATTAACCTAACAATGTCCTTAAGTAAGAGTGGATTATTTTTATTAATATTGATGGAAAATAGTTCATTGGTGTTTGAATTTTAAAAATATGTTGTTTTTGTGTACATAATTTTGAATTAAATGTCAATGGAAATATATATCACTCAGTGTTAATAAATCTTACCAGTTGTTAGCAGATGTCTTTAATAATAACAACCATGTTTCTGAATTACTAAACATCAACTTTCTAATAAAATGTGATCAGCAGTGTATGAAATTTTGTTTTCTTCTTAATTTTAGTCATGATTTCATTGGAGAATTTACAACAAGCTATAGGGAACTTTCTAGAGGACAGTCACAATTCAACGTATATGAGGTAAGGTGCATTTCATTTTATAGTTGTTTTCCTCTAGAGAAAATGAATTTTTGTTCTCAAAGTATAAAGCTTGCAAAAGATAATCACCAAACATAACCTAAGTACCTATACATGTGTAAAGCTTTGAACACTAAGCCAAGTTAATTCCAAGATTAAAATAGTTTCTCCTAAAGTTGATTTTTTTTTTAATTGCCATTGAGTCAAGCATGACTCATAGCAACCCTATGAATAGAGGACCTGAAACCTTTCTATACCTATCATCATTTGTCAAAGTTCATTCAGCTTCCAGAGGCATGCTGTTTAGGAAATAGATACCTCTCCAGTTTCCAATCTTGTAAAGAAAGTAGCATAATCTTTTAAATCTATTTTGTGAGCTTTTTAGTACTTTTAAATTAAATATGGATGCACCCTCATTTTTTCTCTTGTGCTTCGGTCTTTTTATTTTGCCATGACTCCCAGCTTTTTTAGAGTTAAAGGACAAAAATACTAATTTTAATAAAGACTATGGATATATGTAAATGAGTTTCCTGTTGTTATGAAGCGCTGTTAATTGACTCCTACTTGTAGTGATCCCATGAACAATGAATTTGAATGCTTCCCTGGATTTTGCCATCCTCATCATCTCTGATATACTTGAGCTCTCTGTTATAGTTACTGTATCAGTCCATCTTGTTGAGAGTCTTTCTAAGCATGATGTCTTCTTCCAAGGACTGGTCCCTCCTAATAGCATGTCACGTCTTTGCCTCTAAAAAGCACCTTGCTGTACTTTCTCTGACACAGATTTGTGTGCTCTTTTGGCAATCCATGAGATATTCTGTCTTTTTCTCCAACACCAGAACTCTAAATCATCAGTTCTTCTGTCATCCTTTTTCATTGTGCAACTTTAAGATGTAGAACAAGTAGTTGATAAGATTATGACTTGAATCAAGAGAAAGGGGAATTACAGTGTATGAACCCGTCATTAAATGCCACCCAAATTATTAAACACAGGTGAGACAAAAGCTTAGAAGTTCAGATTCATCCTGCAGCACTTCTAAAACAGCCTCGACAAAATTTATTATATTCTCCCAATGAATAAGTTTTTAAAACCCTGTTCTACTCTGACCCTGGGGTCACTATGAGTTAGCTTTAACAGCAATTATTTTTGTGTATTTTCCGCCCCTCTGATTACTTTTACTTTAAAATTACCTTTCCAGTTAATCAGTTCAATACATCTATTGAAACATATTTTTCAGTCCTAAAAATTCTGGAGCTATAGTACGCTTATAACTGCTTCCCAGACAATAAAATTTCAGTCTCATAGTCAGTTTGGTGTAAGAGGAAACTTTACCCTTCTGCACAAGCATCCTCTCCTCATTTAAAGGTGTAAAATTACTGAATCATTTAATATTAAAAATATTATCTTGCTCATGAGGCATGACATCCTGACATTTTTATGTTTCAATAGAGAATGTGTTTAATCCAGGTTTTCAGATAGGAGGGGCAAATTACAGTGCATCAATGCATGCAATTTTTCAATTTTCCTTCGTATTATTTACCTTCACCAGCCATGTTGTTATTGTTGTTATGTGCCATTGAGTCACTTGCAACTCATAGAAACCCTATGTACAAGAGCCCGAAATGCTGTTCTATCCTGTGCCAACCTCGCCGACACAAACATACTCATTCCCACCACTCCACTCACAAAATCATCAAAGGTCTTCCTCTCCTGCGCTGTCCCTCCACTCTCCCAAACATGATGACCCTCTCCAAAGACTAGTCCCTCCTTGCAACATG